TCAAGTCAGGTTGGAAGCAAAAAGTTCCAACAAATTATAGAGCTTGGTTGGTAATTCTCCAATACTCAAGAAGAAGTTGGAAAGCTTGGCCCTGTGATTTTTTTTACCGGTACATTGCAACATCGTCAGGTGATGTCAAAGCAGCAAGCAATGCACAGAGTCTATAAAGCCACTGCCGAAAAGTGTGGTGACAAGAAATAATAGTTTTGTGTACAAATGATATAGTGTTAATGTATAGATGATATGATTTTGTATTATGCCTTGGTTCAGCTATGAAGACAGAGAGTTCAGGTTCTCTGATGCCCTGCTCTAAATTTATCAGCCCACTGGCAATTTCTGCAATTCATACACTATTATCAATAGTTTTATTTGTAGAGATATCTTCTATAGTATGTGAATTTAGCTGTTTGTAGATGAGGGATCAATCTAAGAGTATAGGTGGATATTTTTAGTTGGTTGTCATTTGACTTAATTTGTTATAATGAATGCTTTGTTCAACAATCACGCCTATATTTGTAGTAGTTATGACTTTTATATCTCAATCTAGGTTGTTCTTTAAATAATAATTAATCACTAGTATATATTAATTATGGTATTAATAAGGATTAAATTGATACATAAATGTTTATATCAAATATTTTCAATACATCATATTATTAATTTATTATATTATTGATAATAATAATATTTTTATTAGTACTTTAAAAATTATCCTTAATATAATAATGATAGTTTATTTATGGGAGTTAATTAGTAATGACAACTTAATAAATACATAAATATCATATTTTAAAGACGTCATCATTTAATTGTCTCACTCAAATTGTTCCATTATCCTCAACTAGTGTGCACCTTGTGCTTTGCACGACCCCCTATTTTTTTTAAGCATTGCATTTTGAAATTGCTTCTCTCTAAGTTTTAATACATTTGCTTTAATTATTGTATGCTTAAAATTATAAATCATATCTACTTCTCTATACTTAAAGAAGGATCTAAGTTTTAATACATTGGATTTAGAAATCATATCTACTCCTCTATACTTAAAAAAGAATCCAAGTTTTAATAATACATTTGATTTACTTTATAGTTTATGATACAATAAATTATTGTAGCATGAATAGTAACTTCAAGTATGAAGGAGCAGATTTGATGTACTGTTTATAGTACAGTAAATTACTGTAGTATGAACAATAACTTTGAGAAACTCTTCATGCTACAGTATTTATTGTAGCATTTACTGTAACATGAACAATAATTCTTTGAGTTCTCCTTTAAGTATAGAGGTAGTTTGTCTCAATCAAATTGTCCCATTACCCAATTTTTATCCCACTTTACCCCTCAAATTATCATAAGTGTATAAAATTATCCAAGTGAGACAATTGTCCCAGTGGGCCCCCAAATGTCCCGGTGAATAACCCCCCTAAAGACAGGGGGTCATATATAACCATGAGACAAACTATGCGACGTATGATGTGTCTTTATGATAGTCATTGATATTCGTTGAAATTTTAAGAAAATGACGTGTTATCTTATCTTAACCACTTCTATAAGAGTGAGATGATCTATACTACAAATAGAAGATCTGCAATTCCAAAGCTAACGTTCTAATCACTCATGAATGATATAGATCACCACTTTCTATGGGATGTTCTGATAGAATCCTTACTCATGAATTTTGGATAAAAAAGAAGCACTCTACTAATAAATACTATAGAAAATGGTAAACTATATCGTTCACAAGTGATTAGAGGATTAATATAGAAATTACAAATCTTCTATTTATGACGTAGATCATCTTATATATAACTCTCTTGTCAACTTTATAGCTATTTTTATAACAAAATTATTCGACTTTCAAATATCCACCTACGCTTTAGATTGATCCCTCATAATTATGAGGGACCCTAATTATAAACTCGATAACTACATGTATAATTTTAGTTTGACTTTCATGACTTTAATTATACTTAAAAAACGACCGGGGTTTGGTTTAAAAAAAAATCACAAGTCTCTTTTCGTTCTGCCTGATTAAAAAAATGGCAAGTTGTACATGAGAATCTCTGAAAAATCCACAAGAGGAAAAAATGGGCTAAAATTTAGAAAACCCCTTTAATGTTTGACAACTGTCAAATAATTCTCTAAAATATCAAACCCCCCTCAAATTTAGGGGTTCTCAGAAAACTACCTTCAACTTTTAATATTTTCCAAAAAATCCCCTAATGACGTTAACTACTATTTTCACACTGGTGGATAGTATTATGTAGGGAGACATTTTTGCCGGTAAAAATTATAGCTCAAGCTTTTCTTGTAAAATAATATTAAAAGTCGAAGGCGGGGTTTTATACAAAAACCCCAGAAGACAAGGGGTTTTTGAATTTTAAACGTTAAGGGGGTTGATCTGAGAAGCGCCTGAAGAGGGGCTTTTAGCGAAATTTGTGGCAACTGCCCCCCTTGAAAGCGGGTGGAGGACTACGGGGAGTCCAAAAAGGTCAAGAAAGAAAAGAAATCCGTCGTAAATCCTTGAGACCATCTCCAACCGTGCCCCATTTTGCCGCAAAACCCCATTTTGCCGCTGCGATCAGTCTCCAACCAAGCGCCATTTTGTGCGCCATTTTAGCGGTGATGAACAGCGCGACGCTATATCTGGCGTCGCACTGTTCATCTCCGCATTAGTGCGCCATTTTAGCGGTGATGAACAGCGCGACGCTATATCTGGCGTCGCACTGTTCATCTCCGCATTATTGTTCATTTAATTTTTTTTTTTCAAATTTTTTTTTTTGATCTCATACTTTTATGTATTTACAATTTGACCCCAATTGTTTTATTAAATGTATAAAACAACCCCAATAATATTTAAATTTTATAATTTTACCCCAATTGTATAATTTAGACAAAATAAATTATTTTTTAAAAATAAAAATAATGCTAAAATTTAAAGACATTATTATTAATTATAATATTAATATAAGTAAAGTCCCATGGAATATAAATTAAAAATATAAAGAGCAATCCTAATACATAATTCAAATATAAATTACATATCTGAAATACATAACATATAAAAACTGACACGCATAATATAAAACTTCATTAAAATAAAACATAAAATACAAACTAAACATGGAACATTTCCTGAGATGGACAAGCAGCTCTCAATAATCTGGTAGATCGGGGCCAGAGTGTCCAATATCATTGAAATAATTGCCAAAATTAGAAGCAGACCCTTGTTCTTGTTGATTTCTTTTTTGTATTATTTTAATCTGTTGAGCTCGAACGTACTCACGCACGTTTGGATCAGCAATGGAATTCAAATCTTTCATTATAATTTTTCATTCATCTCTATCTTTTTTCATGGCTATCTTTTCTCGTTCGATATCAAACGCTACTTGCCTGTCCAAGCTCTCCTTGTCTAACCTGTCTATAAGTCGGTTGTTGGAGGTCTCGATGGATTCCACTACGCTTGACTCATGATCATCATTTTTTCTTTTCAATTTGGCTTTTTTTACCCCAATAGGTCGTTCAGATGGAGTAAATGATGACAGTCCAGGAGATGTTGATATAGGAGATTCCGGAGTGGGATTATCTGATTGTGACGAGTCGAAGTTCACACTTTGGGATTGTCTTCGACCAACTTGTCTTGCTGTGGGGACATCATCTTTGAATTTTTCAAAATTTTTAACCATATTCCAGACATGATCAAATTTGAAACCTTTTTTGTACTTTGGTTCTTGCATAAATAACATCTTTGCTCGAACTAACTGCAAATTATAGTGAACATCAAGTTATGTATTTCAACAATAATAATAAAATTCAGACGATAATTAATAGAATACTTACAATATCTTCATCTGAAGCACCACTTGGATTCAGATTCTCTACTTGTCTCAAGCACGCATTCAATTTCCTTACTTCATTACTTATGATTTCCATTCGAGAACGAATTGATCGGCTCATACGCATCTCAAAATGCTGATCTCGAAGTTCATTGTATTTGTCCTCCACACGAGACCAAAATGCATCTCGAGACTGGTTTCTACCGATAATAGGGTCTTGAGAAATATCCAAGAATACTTGACAAAGGAGCACATCTTCAGTAACCGTGTATCCAGTTAATCGAACAGACATTTTTTTGTAAAAAGCGGTTGGTTTGGAGATCAGAAATACTTTGAAGAAATACTTCGAATTGGGTGGTTTGAAGTAGAATTCGTGAATGTTATTTATAGCCAATCGAAATTTGTTTTTTTTTGTTTGAATTTGAATTTGAATTTGAATTTGAATTTGCGGTTGGTTTGAATTTGTCGGTGGTCAACATTTGAAATTGAATCATTTTGTACAAACTGATCAGCTTTACACATTATCCAAAGTTGTCGGTGGGAATCAATTTTTGAAATCAGGTCAGCTTTACACATTATCCAACGTTGTCGGTGGGAATCAAATTTTGAAATCAGGTCAGCTTTACACATTATCCAACGTTGTCGGTGGGAATCAAATTTTGAAATCAGGTCAGCTTTACACATTATCCAACGTTGTCGGTGGGAATCAAAATTTAAAATTAGGTCAGCTTTACACATTATCCAACGTTGTCGGTGGGAATCAAAATTTAAAATTAGGTCAGCTTTACACATTATCCAACGTTGTCGGTGGGAATCAAAATTTGAAATCAGGTCAGCTTTACACATTATCCAACGTTGTCGGTGGGAATCAAAATTTGAAATCAGGTCAGCTTTACACATTATCCAACGTTGTCGGTGGGAATCAAAATTTGAAATCAGGTCAGCTTTACACATTATCCAACGTTGTCGGTGGGAATCAAAATTTGAAATCAGGTCAGCTTTACACATTATCCAACGTTGTCGGTGGGAATCAAAATTTGAAATCAGGTCAGTCCTGGTCATGCAGTGATCAACCGCGATCGAGAAAATGCGCATCAGAATTTGGTCATAGATTACTTTGCCGATAATCCACGTTTTGGAGAAGATATGTTTCGTCGTCGATATCGGATGTCAAGAAGTTTGTTCCTTCGTATTGTTGATGCAGTGAAAGATCATGACTATTACTTCCAACAACGAAGTGATGGACTTGGTAGAATGGGATTATCACCGTTACAGAAAGTAACAGCTGTTTTTCGCATGTTGGCATACGGTCTACCAGCTGATGCTACGGACGAATACGTTAAAATAGGTGAGTCAACAGCAATTGAAAGTATGACAAAATTTTGTCGTGCTATGGTGGAAATATTCGCAGAGCGGTATCTACGAACACCTAACGCTAACGATATTGCTAGGCTACTCTATATTGGAAAAAAACGTGGTTTTCCAGGAATGTTAGGAAGTCTTGATTGTATGCATTGGAAATGGAAAAATTGTCCAACAGCATGGTCTGGGCAATACACAGGACGTAGTGGGTCACCAACTATTATCCTCGAAGCTGTGGCAGATTATGATCTTTGGATATGGCACGCATATTTTGGTATGCCAGGCACCAATAATGATATCAATGTGCTGGAGTCATCTAATCTTTTCTCTAACCTAGCTCAAGGTATTGCTCCTCCCGCTCACTATGTTATTCAAGGAAAAGAGTATAATATGGGTTATTATTTAGCTGATGGTATATATCCGAAATGGGCTACTATTGTACAAACAATCCAACAGCCACAAGGTAGGAAGAAAAAATATTTTGCCATGAAACAGGAAGCATGTAGAAAAGATGTAGAACGTGCGTTCGGAGTTCTCCAATCACGATTTGCAATCGTGGCAGGGTCAGCACGTTTTTGGAAAAAACATGTATTACATGGCATAATGACTGCATGCATTATTATGCACAATATGATAATCGAGGATGAACGTGATCTTTATGCACCAATTCAAGAAGTGAGGGAAGCACCAACACCAGAAGTTGATATGGTAGCAGATGAAACTACAAGATTTACTCAATTTATTGCACGTTACGGAAAAATCAAGGATAAAGATGCCTATATTGCGCTTCGTAATGCATTGATAGATCATCTATGGGAGGAATACACTAATTCAGATAGTTAAGTGCATACTAAATTTGTAATTTTTATATTGTTGTTAATGTTTAATTATTTTCTTGTATTTTATTTTCTGTTGTGTTCTTGAATGTAATATTTTGGCAATATCAATAATAAAAATATAATATTTTAGCAATCAAGTTATTTTAATTAATAAAATAATATTTTATTGTTTTATTAGTTTAATTTTTTAAATAATAAATCATTTTGTTTGGAAAATATGTGAAAAAATAAAATTTGATATGTGGGGTTAATTGTTGAAATAGTTAAAAATATAGGGAATAAAAAATAATAATATAAAAGTAGATAAAAAGAAAGATACTGAGAATATTCCTTTTTGGTGCAAAAAATGGTGCAGTGGGTTGGAGATGAATTACTGTTAGATGTGACTTTTGCACCATTTTGGTGCAAAATTTGCACCATTTTGGTGCGATGGGTTGGAGATGCCCTGAGTGGGTCCCGCTTACCAATAAACCCCTCTTTCTTCCGCTCTCTCCAGATCTTCAGAAAAATCCAATGGGAATCCTCCGAAGGATCGGATCCATTCTCGGATTCTTGAGGGGAAGGCCGTCGCCGGGCCCGTCATCGTTCCCTGCAACATCGGCGAGGGCGGAGTTCAGGTACTTTGTTCATTTCTTTAGTTAGGTTTTACTTTGAGCTAGTTTAGGAAACCCTAGCATTTTTCAAGATTGTGTTTTTTTTATTTTTGGGGTTTTTCAAGGCCGTCGCCGGGCCCGTCATCGTTCCCTGCAACATCGGCGAGGGCGGAGTTCAGGTACTTTGTTCATTTCTTTAGTTAGGTTTTACTTTGAGCTAGTTTAGGAAACCCTAGCATTTTTCAAGATTGTGTTTTTTTTATTTTTGGGGTTTTTCAATTGCTGAAAACTTAGTAGAGCGAACGTATGATTGTGCAGTTGAGCTTTTAACATGAGATCCCAATTTGGAATTTTAAGTGAACTTTGCTTTGTGGATCGTCCTTGAAATGCTATCCAGAGGTTGTTAAATTCCCCAGGCATTGACTATTACCAAAATATTTCTCTTGGAGACATTTGCCTATTCAATCATGGGATTTTAAAGTAGAAGCCATCTGTGCTTGTTGGGCGCAGAAGTCACGTCCTCACGCCGCCGAAGCGATATCACCTGAGAGAGAGCGTTGACTTTTGTTTTCACAAAAGTTCAAACCAACCTCTATATTCGTGTTTCGCGAAGGAAATAATAACAGAAGTGAAATATCTCAGCAAAGTGAGATATACACTTTTCCTCACATCAGTTCTAGGACTAAGTTGTCGAGGGCACCTACAAGCAACAACAAACACACAGTTAAGACAATACAGACACGAGATTTACGTGGTTCGACAAACTTGCCTACGTCCACGGGAGGAGGTAAGGGGGATTTCACTATGAGGAGAATACTGACTTTCACTTGTACAACTCACAAGCTATCTCCCTCTCTCTGAATTTTCTCTCTTGAAAATCTCTCTAACTCCCACTCTTTCTTTTCTTCCTCCACACATTCTCCTCTCTTCCTCCCTTCTATTTATAGGCAAAGAAGAGGGGACAAGAGAGCATGGGTGAGCATGGGCATTGACAAGAGAGCATGGGCAATAGGCATGAGCAATGGGCATGGAGAGCATGGTGGGCATGGGGGGGTGTCCACCATCTCTTGTCCCCCCCATCCCTTGTCCTCTCTTGTTCACAGTGCTTTATAACGAAAAGACGTGGAATTGCATTGTGAATTCAGGCGAGAGTCTGTGATTGGTTTTTCGATAACAGGTTGTTTATCACCCTCCTGAAGTACCAAAAATCTGAAGTTATTATCAAGACTGGAGGTTATAATTTTATACTCGAAAGTGCACGGCAGGTTGATCGCCCTTTTTCAGCCGTCTTGAACATGATATTTTGTAATGTGAGATTGATCTGAGGGGGTTGTTTTCTATCATCTTTAGGAAAGTGTTTTCTTGAGATCTGAAGATATTTTCTCTTGTATCTCTCTTCTGAAGTTGCTTACCTTTCATTTGTTGCCTACTTTTCAGACATATGTTGCTCTGTCTTTATTTTATTTTATTTCATTTTATTTCACTTTGTTTGTTGCTTTCCTGTCACTTCTCCTAGCTGGCACATTTTAACTCCATTACATATACTTAACTATTTCAACCAGTTCTCATTTAGCCTCACTAGGAATAATGCTTTAGAGAAGCGCTCGTTTTTATCCTATTTCTTAGTATATTGCCATTGATCTGTCTCAGTATCTTCATTATTGCTATGCTCACTTTTTTGATACTTTTAGAGTGAAATTATGATCCCCAACCCTGATCACAATTTTAGAGTTTTGGTATAGACCGTGGATGAGACTATTAACATGTCGTCTGAGCAACCCTGGTTCAAACTCCACTGGCCCAAGAATTTGAAGTGGATTGAAAAAGTATATATCGCCGCATGAGTTTAGGTTTCAGCCCATGAAAAAGGCGAATAACCTGCTGGCATCTTAGAGTAAAGTTATAATCCTGAACCATGATCACAACTAGAGTTATCAAAGGTGCGAGCTTCACTGCGCCTTGTGCGTCCTGTGATGCAGGGTGGTGGCTAAGCGCCACACATCTAATGTGACAGCGCCTTTTGCTCCTCGCAAGCAACTTGCGCTTTGCACATAGCTATGTTGCATGGGTACGGGTACTGGTGCAGGTACCGCCGTACTGATATGTATAGGCATAGAACACTACAAACTTATATAAGATAGGGTATGAGGATATGGCTATATAAATATTTATATACACATATATTATGTATTGGAATTAATAATTTATATGAGAGTAAGGATGATAATTAAAATTTCTATAACAATTTTTTGTTTCTTTTATTATGTGGATTATAAATTAGAAAATCACTAGTTTTTGAACTATACATCCAAACAACCCTTCAAAATCATAATTCGGAAGTTGACCTATGTCCAACGAGTTTCAAGAGGTGGATGTTGAGTGTAGAATATATGTCCAAAAAATGTATGACAAGCATTTTAAAGTAAAACATGTATTGTATAATGGAGTACATGCTTGAATAAATGTACACATATGTAAGGAGTGTCCAAGGAGTTTGCGTACGGGTACGGATGCGAGTATGGGTACAGTTTCAGATTAGAAGTACCCAAGTAACAGGGGTGCATAGCGTATGTATGACATAGCCTCATATATTTTGTTTTTTAATATTTCAATCGGGTCTTTCCAATGACCCATATCCTAAGAAAGCAAAATAAACTTAATGGACATTGTAGTAGCCCATCTGAGGACCCTAAAGTGTACTTGTATACTGTTTGATTTTGCTTCGATATTAGTCTTGAGTTAACTTTTGATTTATAAAATTATGAACTTTGCTAATATGTTTGATGTGTTAGCATTAGAAATTAAGACACTATTTTTTGATTTGGTAACATATTATTTATCTTGACATAGTTTTTATGTGAGAAATACATAAACATGTTCTTTCGTGTTTGATCATCTATCTTAAAAAATTATGTGTGCGGTGTGCGCCTTGCTTCACTCAGGCGGGTGCATCGTGTTGCTCCTTGCATATGCGCATGTGCGCATAAAGGGACTTTGCGCCTCCGTATTGAGCCTCGTGCATTGATAACACTTTTAGATCTTTGATATTTGAAGGGGACTTGTAATAGATATGTTGATCCACAAAGCCTTGCTTGTATTTGTTGGATAGCAGTATTCCTAATCTATTAGGATTCCTAATTTGTTTTGTTTTTGGTTTTAGGATTCCTAGTCTGTTTTGATTTTAGTTTTTCTATATATATGGAGATTAGAATCAATCATAAGTGGGAGGAGAGTTGTAATCAGAGGTTAGAGAGACTTTTGAGCATTAAGAGAGAGATATTGTGAGCAAGTTGAGAGCTTTGGTTGAGGGTTAGTTTGTGAGTTTTGTGAGGTTGTAACCTTTTGTACTCTCCTTGATTTAGTGGAATTTTCCCATCCTCTCCCCGTGGACGTAGGCAATTGCCGAACCACGTAAATCTCTTGTGTTATTGGTGATTGTGCCGTTATTTTGGTTGTTTTGTCCTTTATCTCGACGTTTGGTTTGATTTGGTTCTCGAAGCACGCCCGTTTGTTTGTCCCGCTTCCGCACCGCGCACAACAATTGGTATCAGAGCTCCGGATTTCAGATCTAGGGTTTTGTCTTGGTTGGAGGAGTAGATCGATTTGGGAAGCTCGTCTAGGGTTTCAGTTGGTGAGAAATGTGAGATCTTTTTGGTAAAGTTTCTTTATTTTCTCAGTTTTGGATCTATTCTTCGTTTGTTTTCCTCATTGGTTTGTTGGCGCTTGGGCTATTTGGAGGAGTAGATCGCTTTAGAGGCTCTTCAAGGCTTCGTTTGGAGATAAATGTTGGATTTTTCCTATTTGTGGATCGTGAGATCGTTTGGAGACTCTTGTTAGGGTTTCAATTGGAGGTAAAAATCTCTCCTTTATCAGTTTGGATCTATTCTCCGTTTGTTGGTGCTTTGAGATAGTTGGCCGAGATAGAAGGATTTGAGGCTGGGATATTTAATTGTTGATACGGTGTATTGGATGATTGAGAAGTGCCCTTAACCTGCATATTGAAGTCCTTTGAGCACGTTGGTATGAGCAAGGAGATCTAGGTGGAGTTTGACACTTCTATTCGATGATTGAGGGGTCTTCTATTTGGTGTTCATTCAGGCATTTGGGGGCCTTCCAAGGAGACATCATTGAAAGGTAATTGGTATTTTGGTTTTCTTTGTTGGGGATTATACTAGGCATTTGTGGGTTATAACCAAATCCCGTTGGTTTTGAAGTCCTAGTAGTCAACAACAGTTGAAGAAGTGTATTGACAGTAAGGTAAATGTACTTCATTCTGGTTTTAGAGGGAGGTACAAGAGGGACCTACTGTATTTATGCCGAGCTCATGGCAGTTTGAGACACTTCATTGGAGAGGAAACATTGGGGCGACGAGATGAGATGATATTTTTGATTGGTCGTTTTTTTCTGGAGG